ACAAGGGACTGGCACCCACCCATCCAAGCCATAAGAATTCTCTCTTCATATTCTCAACAATGTTATGCTGCCATTTAAATTTTTCAAAAATTAAAATTTGTGCTCTCAGTGCTCAGGACTTGCTCCATACCAATTAAAACACCAAATTTGGTTGAGTCAGGAGATCCCTTCTAGGTTGTTGCCATGGATTCAACATACAAGATAACCTCATAGGAAGCTCTTTGGAAATCCCCGCTGTTAGTGCAGGGCAGATAATTTGATTTTGTACAGTTTCCACCTCTCTTGTTTTCATTTGCAAAATTTAAGACTCTTACCAATAACCAGTAAGGCTGGCGAGATGTCCTGCTTCAATCATTCAATAATATTGGTGAATACCACTAAGTTGGTGAACCCCTCATCTGAGGCAAGTCACCAAGTCACAAGAGATGTTACTGCGGCATATGGTGGTCCCTCTGGGCTGTTTGTGTTTATTTTTTTGTTCCAGGATCTCCTCAAAGGAAACTTGTAGAACCCTGATTTTAAAAATTGAGAGAATTACATAAAGTTCATTTGGAAGTCAGCACAGATTTAAATCCATTCCCTCATTCTGGGGGGATGGATACATGGAATGGGTAATAATCCTCAGTGTACTAGTGTCGATTTGGAGGGAGGTCTCTAATCAGTAGGCCACAAGGTTCTCTCCATCCCATCTTTAGACATTACCTCTGTCAAAATGTCTCCTTCTGGATCATGGTTAGTGAAATAATCCAGAAAGAAAAAGAAAAATACCAGATGGGTTTTTAGGGGGATAAAAATAATAATGGACAACTATATACCAGAGACATTTTATGGAATGGGAATAAAAATGGAGGGCTGGGGAGGAAAGTACACGGGACTATGTTGATGGCACACAGAGGAATTGGTGATGGGAAGAGCACATGAATTGCAACTGAGATGGAAAAGGCACAAAATTATGTAAAAATAAACTATTATAATAAATAAAGAAAATGAAAAAAGTCTCCTTACACAGATAAGATATGGACAGTATGGTTATCAAATCCAACAAAATGAACCCCAAAAATCAAGACTCTGGACATCCAACTCCACAATATACTTCAAGAAACCATTTAAGCAGGGGTTAAACTTTCAGCGAAGGTAGGATTTAATTGCATATGAAGACTAACTACCAAAAGATGTGTATTGCCCACTATTGTTTTGTTTTCTTCTTCATTCTTATTAGTATTCTTTTCCCTAAAACATGTATGTCGCCTCTGAGACCATGATAAGTGACCACGGTAGTTAGCTTCAGCAAATTATAACCGGTCACTTACTAACATCTTAGAAGAACACTATGAGTTATCACACAGTGCTCCTTGGCAGATAGAATGGAAAACAAAGTCCTCGCAGGCAAGTTCAAGTCCTGCAGCTCAATAGAATTTTAGAGCTAATAAAAATATTATAAATCATCTAGCCTATGTATATATTTCAAAATGAGGTAATTTAAGTAATATGATTTCCATGACTTCAAAATGCCCCACTAGAATTCACACACAAAGCCTGAATGAGAACACCACCACTTCCATAGCTCACACCCTCGGAGCGCCAGGACGCCTGAATCGACACCTCACAAGTAATGCCTTTTATCCACTTCCACCTGACACATAACCCCTGTGAGCCCTTCACACCTGCATTCCCACAAAGCTTACCCCTTTCTTGTGGTTTCCTCTGTCTAGAAGACCTTCCTTGTTGGTCTGGGAACAATCCCTAATCATCTTCGAAGACTCAGATCAAGTATCAGACTTTGGGAAAATTACTTATACTCCATCAAAGTGAGTTGCTCATTGTTCACTCTGTTGGTACTATGTGAATTTCCAGGCTGGTCTGCAGCTCACTCTATCCTAGCATAAGCTGCTGGCAGCAAGGATTAAATGTTGGCCATCTTGAAAATCCAGCTTCAGGAAGAACCAAGTATATGGTGGACAATAAAAACTGAATTAAACAAATAAAAACAAGAAGAATTTTTAAAAATTAGGCCTGGCCCCATTCCTTCAAAAGACAATTTTTTACTTTCAAGGGACTTATCCAGAGAAGCTACTTGCAATTTCTCGACAATTATGTGTTGAGTGATGAATTGGGGTGGGCCGATTCCAGTTCTCCCATGTTGATGGGCTATTACCAAAACTCAACTGATCACAGCCTGTTGTTATCTTGACTTACATGACTTCCTACTTTATTGACTGACTTCCGCACTTCCCCGCATTTATCACGTTCCCCATTCTGGACTCTCACCATAAAGTCATGCAAAGAACTTAGGGCAAAATTCACTCACACACACTAGAGTGTCCTCCATGCTAAAAAGTTGTGCTGGTGTGAGTGGGGGAAGCTGGTAACATACTTTAGTTGAAGGGTAGGGCAATACAATCATTTTGTAATCAACATTTTAAATGTGCATCTCTTTGCCCCAGCATTTCCACTGCTAAAATTTATCTTATGGACAAATTTGCAAAACTCTACAAATGAATAAGTATATTCATTGCAGTGATAACTGAAATAGCATAGTTTTTAATTGCTGCATCCATATCCTGAAACTCCATGCAATCACAAGAAAGGATATAACAGATCTAAATTTACTGAGATGTTCACATACTACTAATTCAAAATACAAAATATTAAAGAGTAAAGATTAGTATTAACCCATTTGTATAATAAAAAAGATACATATCTTTGTACATGTCCAAAAATTACTAAAAGAACATTATGAGTAATATTAATAGGTTATAATAATGGATGGTATAGAAGAAAAATAGTGATAGAATGATTTTTTTATTTTATATACTTGTGCAGTATTTGAATTCTAGTTCTGTTGAATATATTACTTTTATGATCTTCAAAAGTGTCTTCCATCGTCTTCTTCCACCTTTGTGCCTGATGTATTTCAGTTTAAGCAACTAGGTTTTCTCAAGACTGAGGTTATTTAGTTCATATTAATGCTCTCAACCTCATACCATTTCCCAAACTTAGTCTTTAAGTACGACCTTTCCAATTTTTCAGTTTATCATTAACCAGAGGAAGGCATCAATACATGGTCACCCAGTCCAGGTACCAAATTACAAAAAGTGCACTTGGTAAGAAAAACATGCTAACTCAATTGCATCAATTAAAATACCAACAAACATTAGCAGTGCCACAGTGTCAAGATGCAGGAGGTCAAAGACCAAGGCACTCTGCACAGACAGTTGCAGGGGGACTTAACTGGGGCAGTTCTGGTTGTGCCATTAGGACCAGGAGCACTCCAATCTCAATGAAAGTGCATAAGACACCACCATTATCCGCGGATCATTGCCACGATAGACCCAAACAACTCCAGTCTATCGTGTCAATGTGTATTTGGGGAGTCTTTAACACACGGATCATTGGCAAGCTGCGCCATAAAAGCCCTGTAGGAACTGCGGCCGTGTGTAGAGCCGACGCACACCCAGGGACTCCCCCGTGCCTGGATCATTTGCAGCGCATCGTATCAATGCATACTCCGGGAGCCCTACTCTGCAGCCCCAGCATGCTGAGGAACGATGTACACCAAAAATACTTATGAAATAGTTGTTACAGTGCATACACAGTATTCACTCTTCTAAATGGCATGTCAGCAAGTTTAGTGTGTGACAAATAACTCCTAAAAGGCACAAAACACTCCTAGAGGCCCAACTTCACACATGGACAGTTGGTCCATGGAACTGTGGCACCACAGGAGTGGGAGTATGGGCCTTTCTTACCAGAAACAAAGGGAAAAGGCTAGCCAACCCTTTCCCACAACTTAAGCCAGGTGTCTACTCAGTGTTGTCAAGGTTCTCAATATAATCCCAGGTAGTTCTAATTACTTTCCCAGGCATCTGATGCTGAAGAGCCAAGAACCTTTCCTCTCTCACTGCCTGTTCCAAAGTTAACCCAGAGGAAGGTGAGATGGCTGGAGAAAATTCCTGGGGTGGTAAACTTCTAACCAGTACTGTCCAGTGGAAATACAACATGAGTACCATAGGCCACTTGAAATATTATCTTAGCCACATTTAAAAGTTAAAAAGAGACTTTAATGATATCTTGTACTGGGATTATATCAAGAACCTTTTAATGATATCTTTTTCATCCAACATACCCAAAATTTTACCATTTCAATATCCAATCAATATTTTTAAATGGTAAGAAAGTTGACATGTTTTTGTTTTCATCAGTCTGATTTGGACTAGCCATATCTGAAGTGCTCAACAGCCACATGTGGCCAGTGGCTGCCCTAGTGGACAGCACTGCATGCGGCTGGGGAGGGCGTTCCCAAGGGCTAGGTCCAGTCTCTGTCCTCAGCAACTGCCACTCAGAGGTGCGAGTCTGGCTTTCCACCACACCCCTCGCCAGTGCTGCACCTCCTGAACGGCCTTTTCTCAGCAGCCTGAGTGGGTGGATATGTTTTGGGTCTTGGAATCATAAAAATGACCACAAATATGCATTTAACAGGAGCGGAAAGCTACTTAAGCCAAAGAGATAATATCATTAGATACTCTTGCTTGATGGAGAGGAAGAGGAAGGCAAGGGAGAGTGGGTATGAAAAAGGGCGCGGGAATGACACTAAATGAGGGTGGTGGCCTCACTGCAGCTAACTGCCCCCCAAATGTGCTGTCTGCAAGGCAGCAGGCCCTGTGCGTCGGGGTTTGCGGGGTCACTGGCAGTCAGCCCTGGCGTCTGAAACCGAGTCTTCCCAGACACACAAAGGGGAGGAGGGACAGAGACAAAGGCGCGGAGACTGAGGGGAAGAGCCCGGGAGAGAGGCGGAGGCGGGGAGCCGGGTGTGAGGTGGGGGCCTCGCCGGGCAAACAAAGCACCCGCAGCTGTCAGGAGAAAACGGGGCGCCGCGCGCTCATCCGGGGATTTGCAGGAAGGACGGCCCGGTGGCGGGGGAGGGAGGCCGGGCGCACCCGGCAGGTCTATTTGAATATCAGGCTCTGCCACACTCGGGGCGCCGCTGACAACTTCATTACCTCCGTGTATAAAAATGACTGCCGGCGAATGCAAATGGCTTGCCCGTCTCAGCCGCCTGCCTCCGCTCTGCCGCGGGCTGCGGGCGGAGGCCCCGGGAGAAGCGCCGCGGCGCGCCTGGGAGACGGCCCGCGCGGGGCAGGCTCCTCCTCCCGCCCCGCGGCCGCCGCCCGCCCCGCACGCAGCACCCTGCGCAGCCAGGTTGGGGATTGAGGGAGGGGCGGCTGAGAAGTGCTAGCCTAAGATTTGCTCTAGTGTGTTATGCAAGTGCCCTGCCTTTTTTCTTTCTTTTTTTAAAAAAAAAAAAAATATATATATATATATATATATATAAAATGCATGCAGAATTGGGGTACAGGCCAGAGGTGCAGGGACGGTGAGAGGATTCACCAGATACAGAGTGGGGAGCAGAACAGGCAGATCAACGAAGTACACTGCTGAGGGGAGCAGCGGGCGGGTCAGGAGGGGCCTGCTGCGCCCTGTGGGTCACCTCCAGGGCGGGGATCGAACTCGCACTGAAGTGGCTGCAGCCTGCGCTTTAACCTGCTGACCCACCAGGGAGGGCCTTATCAAGTGCCCTGCCTTTTAACCACCATCAAGTGAATGTCCAGAAATGCCCAGAAAACAGAACACCCTAGGTAGGATTCCTAACCTTGAACTCAGATGGCAGAGTTTGGGCCCCACTGGGCCAGGAGTGCCCAGGAGGGCAAAAGCATGTCTACCGCCCCCATTTTCTCCTATGAGCAAGCAGGTGAGGGGTGAAGCTGCTTCCTCCTCCCCAGCCTCCAGTGCATCTTCACTCAGCAACCCCTTCCACATCCCCTGATGAACCATATGCGGTTGGAGGCAGGACTGCAAAAGGAAGAGTCCTCACAGAGCAGCTCTCCCTTTAGCATGAGCAGAGGGGAGCACTCTCTCTCAGGCCTCTGACTGCTCCACTTACTACATGGGGACACCTCTGGGGCAGAAACTAGGTCATCTTTATTAATAAATACAAGAGCAGCAACAGTGATAATAATCTGAGGGCTTATTATGCACAAGACACTGTGCCAGTTGTTTTACTTAGGTTACTTTTGTCACAACAACCTGATGCTTGCCTGAAAATCTAGACCGGCAAGATTTCCAAGCCGAGGAAGGGATAAGAGTGATGCAAAAGCAGGTTTACCCCCACCCAGAGACTGTGCTTGCAGCCTGCTTGCCAGCATTTCTTTTCTGGGCCTTTCTGGGCTCCTGCTACTGTCCATGGTCTTCTAACTTTTTCCCCTAGTCGGCTCCTCTCTCTCACTTGTGCCCTAAGGGTAAATCCTAAACAGTCAACTTATTATGCTCAACCCCTCCCTTTCCAGGGATTGGCTCAGAAAATGTGCAGGTGAGGGGGCCTGGCCAATGTCAAGCCAGGGGGCATCTGCTGGGAGTTGTGGGAAATGCTTCCTCTTCTATCATAAAATCTCTCTTTTTAACACTGGACACAATTCCCCTTTCTTCTGCTGGAGGATATTTTAGTTCAGTGTGTTGTTTGTTGATACCTGGTAACCAGGAAGAAACCAACCAACAAGACCCTTTTTGCAGAGACTTGCAAGATTTGATAGACTCAGTATGAAGGCTAATGTTCAAGGAAGCCATTTTCTAGGTCTCTCTCTACCAGTAGTGGAATCATAATGCCTTGTGCTTATTCAGGGTTATATTGGAAATTAATTCCTTTTTGGAAAAAAATATATAAAGTAAATTAGTGAAAAACTCCAGAAATTTGGTCACATGTGCACCCTCATTTCATCATCAGTAAAATGAGAAAAACCACTGAACCCCATACTTTAAAATGACACCTCACACTTCCAAATTCTCTTCCTAGCGCTCACCTCAAACCCCACTCAAGCACAAGGCATGAAGCCACTTTTCCTCAACTCTTTTTTCCATCAAGATACCTCTTTGCCTACTCAGGCATCTCGCTTGCATGCACTCACCAGTATTTGAGACTGACTACTGTTTACTGTTCTTCTTGGGCTCTCTAGACAACTTGCCTCTTGCTTTGAACATCATGGCGAACAATGGATGTGTCACCAGACACTAACTAGTTTCCCTTGGCAACTGCTTTAAAACACAGAATCCAACTTAGAATGGAAAATTGATTTTCATTGTTTTATTAAAGTCATGTGTACTTTTTATTAAAATATGCCCCAAAAACTGTATAAAATATTTACTATATGCTTTAACAATTCATCCAGAATCAATACATGGTAACCAGCTCAAACATCTCTAATGTTTCCCATCACCAAGACCCTTAGCAAGGCATTCAAGAAATTTCGCAATCTGTACCTTATCTGTCCACTATCATCTACTCAAGTCATACTGCTGCATCTCCTCTCCTGAGACATAAACTTCAGCATGCTGGTTGCCCACAGTCTCTAGGGAACCCGTCTCCAACTGTTCAAACACCACTGATCCTTCCAGGTCCAGAGAAAATACCAGCTTTTCCAGGAAGCCTTTTCCATTCCTCTCATATGGTGACACAAAATATCATATGGTGACATAAGTTATCTTGCATTTGTTCTTGGTAATATTTCTTGTAGATTTTATGTTTATTAATACTCAGTATTCCTAAAATAATACATAATTTCATAGATAGAGGACTTAAATATTATCATGCAAACAAATAAAATGGATGATAAGAATAAAAGTGGAATGTAAAAACCTCAGTCCCAACTTAAGAATGAGCTATTCTCTTAGATGTGATTAAAATAAACTTTCTTATACCTTTTGGTTTGTAATTTTGATGTAATAGGAAATCTGTCTCAACTAAAATTATTAAATAACCATTCCCCTCTTCTAATAGGGCAGATAGGAAAATTGCAAGCTATGTTTTTTTTTATTGTTGTTGTTGTTGTTCTTGTTTTTTAATGTTACTTTCTTATCCTACATAGGCCTTCTAGTTCTCTTAACTTTTATCTATGTGAGGCAAGAAAGTTCTTAAGTGGCAACTATAATTAGATTCATATCATTTATTAAAATAATACACGAACTTCCTTTTGTGATTATATCTTCCATCTTCTAATAAATGTATAACTGCCTCTATAACAATCCCCAGTCAGATGATGAATGTTCCTATAATAATACTACCTCTCTCCCCTCCTTTTTTAAGGAGCTCATGGAACAACTGCACAAAATCTGATGATTTTGAACCACTAAAAACAGAATTACAGCCCTGTCATTTGACAAAAGTGAGGCCCTAGGCTTGAAAGAACTTTCTGGAAGTTGCCCTGCCAGTCAGTAGCAAAGTGGAATTTCATTATCCTGTTTTCTGGTTGACTGCTCTTAACACCACACAATGCTATTAATGATTAGTGTTAAGAACAGAACTTAAGTTAACCAAGTTATCAAATCAAATTCCTAATATAGAGTCAATGGCGCACACTCAGCCAGGTCTCTGTAGGAAGAGGGGCCATATTAGATCCTCAGAGGCAGAGAATGTGTCCTTTTCACACCAGTCCATCATATCCAGAGATTCCCACTAGTGCTACCTACACCAAGCCCTGCTTACAGGTACTCAAGGTCTCCTCAAATCCCTAGCTCATGAAGATGATACTGTGAGCAAAGAAGGAAGCCCCCGGCCCTCTCAAAGCTGAAGCCAAAGCAAAAGTTTTGAAGGCCAAGAAAGCAGTGCTGAAAGGTGCCCACAGTCGCACACCTTCCCACAGCCAAAGATACTATAACTCTGAAGGCACCCCAAATACCCTGGGAAGAGTGTCCCCAGGAAAAACAAGCATGGCCACTGTGTCATCATCAGGCTCCCACCAATCATCGAGTCAGCAGTGAAGAAGATGGACGCCAACACCACACATGTGTCCACTGTGGATGTCAAGGCCAGCGCCAGGCCACACAGGATGAGAAGTTCTGCCACACCCTGATCAGACCTGATAGGGAGAAGCTGGTGAATGACCCCTGACTCCTGACTAGGATGCTTTGCCTGTTGCCAAATCAAGGTCATATAAACTGAGTCCAGCTGGCTAATTCTAAATATAATCTTTTACCATAAAAAAATTTCCTATTTCATTATATGTCTCAGCAGCTCAGGGGACAAGGAAGATGCTTGATTAGGTACTTCTCTCCTTCATTCTGAGCTAATGAAGAAAAGAGTTTAAAATGGAAGCACCCAGCTGATAATGTGTTAACTGTCTTTTCACCTGTGCAGTGAATTTAAACCCAAATTTTAAGATTAGAATCTGACAGTTCCATCATAAAAGTAGTTTTTAAACTCTTAAATATTAGTTAAATTGTTTGTATTTAAAACCATAAACAATTGTTTTATTTAAAAACCCCAGGGCCTGTATTTTTTCAATGTGGAATTATATCACTTGTTCAAATCATACATTTCTATACAGGAGAAAATAAAATATGCCCCAACTGACTAATATTTTTAAACAATAAAAGCAAAACTAAGAAAATGAAGCCTAACTTCCCTTCTTCCTCCTCCCCTTCTTTGACCAACAATTGCTATAATCCACACTAATGAGGTAGACTGTGTTAAGAATTTTCTTCACTTAACATTTCTCATTATTAATAAATTTTATCCTGACAACTATAAAGTGAACACTTTGGATTTATGCACCTAACCTAATTACATATGCTGCATGTACGCATTTCATTATTTACTTGACAGATTCATTCCTTGATATCATAAATAATTAAATAAGAATCAAATATTAACAATCAGATACATGTTAATTCTTCTCAAATCTGTAGAAACAAACTATATTTTTATCTTCAGTTCAACAAGCACTGATTAAAATTTCTTCATTAAGCAAATTTCATAAGCAAAGTTCTTGATCTACTTTTCTTACTTTCACTGAAAATTAAACCTGGAATAAATTATTCCAGGATAAGTTCATGGGAGAAAAAATGAATATAACAGTATTTCTAACAAGCCATTGCACTCACAATCTTTCTTAAACACTGCAACATCTTATATATGAAACATTAATCTTAAATGTTTGTTAGAATTTTTCAAATACAGTTTTTTTTTATCAAGGAGAAGCCAGAACCATATTGGTTGCTAGTATTATTGTGCCAGCCAGCGTATCTAGCCTAGGAACATGATGATTTTAACC